TACCATGGACTGCTAGGAAAACAAACAGATTCGTCCTGGAAAGGGTCAAACTGGGCTGCTACTTGGAGGCAAGGATTCTAAGGCTCCATCTAACATACTTTGCACCTGTTGTGAGGAGGGACAGGTCCTTGGAGAGGGACATCATGCTTGGTAGGGTGGAGGGACAGCACAGAAGGGAAAGGCCCCCTATAAGGTCAATTGATTCAGTGACTGGGGTAATCAGGACGGGTGTGTCAGACAGTGCGATTGGCACAGGACAGAGCAGAGTTTAGGGATGTACATAGGGTCGCTATGAGTCACAAGCGACTCGATGGCACATAACAACAACAACAAACAACAATGTCATCTTTTATTGGACAAAGTTCTCAATCTAGGTGACAAAAGGTTGTTCAAGAAGGGAAGGGCACCAGGGCAAAAGTACCCCTCCGGGAATGCAGACAGCGCCTCTTAGTGGTATTTCCGTAACCATTCATGTTTGAGCTCCTTGTAAGAAAGGCAGTAGCTGAACACCACGTAAGGTGTCAGCACCATGGACAGCACAGCGATGCTCCCCTTCTTCACGTTGAAGTACTTGTTGTAGTACTGGTAGTAGCCTTGCTGGAACGCTCCTGCGATGCCGCTCAGGGTGAAGTCCCACATCAGCATCCAGCTGGGCAGCCCCCCCAGTTTTACATCCATTAGCTTCCTCTCCTTCAGTGGAACGATGGAGGCCGTCTTGGAGTCCTGGGTGGCCACAGTCCTTCCATCTTTTAATGCATCCTAGATCATTCAATAGTCTGCCCATTTCATCCTTACATATTTCAACTTGTGGTTTGAATTTATTCTTTAGTTCCTTCAGATAAGAAATACCAAGCGTGTTCATCCTTTTTGATTTCCCAACTCCAGCTCTTTGCACATTTCATTATAATTCTTTGCTTTGTCTTCCTGAGCTGCCCTTTGAAATCTTCTGTTCAGGTCCTTAACTTTCTGCTTGCTTTCCTTTGCTTTGGCTTTTCCACACTCTAGTGCAATATTTAGAGTCTATTCAGACATCTACCTCAGTCTTTCCCTCCTCCTTTGTCTCTGTAATGATCGTTTGCACTCTTCGTGGATGATATTCTTGATATCCTCCCACAGTTCTTCTGGTTCATTAGTAACGTTCAAGGCCTCAGACCTGTTGCTGACCTGGTTTTTAAATTCAGGTGGAATAGACTCAAGCTCAAGTTTTGATTCCTGTGGATTTGATTTAATCTTCTTTAGCTTTAGTGTGACCCTCTGAGCAGTTGATGATCTGTTCCATAATTAGAATCTGGTCTAGTTTTCACAGCTGATATTGAACTTCTCCAATGATTCTTCCCACAGATATAATCGATCTGATTCCTGTGCATACTGTCAGGTAAAATCCATGTGTATAGTCTGCATTTATGTTTCTTACAAAATGTATCTGCAATGAATAAATAATTCAATATGTATGTAGAGCAAATAATCTAAGAAGTTAGACTATATGAAGAAGATTGTAGCATCACGATTGGAAGACGACTCATCGACAACCTTCATTAAGCAGTTGACAAAACTTTGCTTGAAGAAAATGAAGACATAAGGCAAGGATGGCACGCTTTGTCTCACACACTTTAGGTACATTATCAGGAGAGTCTAGTCCATACAGAAGGACATCACTTTTGGAAAAGTGGAGGGTCCATGAGAGAAAAGAAGTAAGACCTTCAATTAGATGACTGACACAGTGACAATGGGTTTAAACTCAGTTTAAGAGATTGTGAGGATGGCACAAATTGGACTGGGTTTTCTTCTGTTTTACGTATGATTGCTATGCATTGGAACCATTTTGACAGCACCTAACAACAACAACATTAACCAGGGGTAATTGGAAAGTTTGAGAGCTCTAGTGACCCTAGTGACCTAGTGCCAAGAAACTGCCCTGCAATCCCAAAGGGACAAAGTTCGAGGCCACCAGCCTCTCTGTGGGAGAAGGATGGGCAATCTCCTCCCACGCGATTAACTGCCTCTGAAAACCTGCTATGGATCGGTTCTGATTCAATGGTATGCCGCCACCACAACCACCAAACAATAACAATTGCAAGAGTGTAACCATCCCCAAACTGACTTTCCAGGGACCTAGAATTCTCTTTGTTAGCATTGCATCTGGAGGTGACAGCCAGGGGATCTCAGGGGATTGTGGTGGAAATATACATCAGCTGGAAACTGGAAAAGTCCTCTGGAGCCCATTCTAATTCAACTTCACGTCAGCACTGTGCTTGTCCAAGATAGGACACTCAAACATCTGTGGAAGCAATTAGGTAAGTTTTCCAGCTGACTTCTTGAAAGACTGAAAATTGGGCTTTGTTCAAGAAATATTTTATATATAGAGTTGTTGTTAAGTGTCATCGAGTCCCAGGTGACTCATAGAGACCCTATGAAGGATATATACACATATATATATATGTGTGTGTGTATATATATATATATATATAACCAGAAACCACCATATAAAACAAACAACTCAAACCAAACTCCATCAAGGATAGAAGTTACAGAGTGGGCACAAGAAGGCAGCACAAACCAGCTCTCAGAGAAATGGGGTCTGTGCAGGTTGCTCTCTGGTGGCCTAGTGGTAAGAAGCTGTACTGCAATCCCAAAAGAATAAGGATTGACTCTAGCAGCTGTTCCATAAGAGAAGGATGGGTAGTCTTCTCCTGTGTTACTGCTTCTGAAAACTCACTGGAGGGTCAGCTATGGGGTGGTTCTGAGTTGATGGTACACAACATGTTGTTAGGTACTGTTGAGTTGACTGTGATTCATAACAACCCTATGAACACATATCACAACCTTGTCCTATCCTGTGCCATCATCTGATCGCCACCATGTTCATGCCCATTGTTGCAGTCACTCTGTCAACTGATCATGGGAACATGGCAGTTACTAGCATTTTAAGCCTAAAGCTGTCACCGGTTTAGGTCCCAGGTCCTTTGTAGTGCTGAACCATCCCTATTGGCTGGGATACATGATGTCCTGCTTATCTCAGGGAACCACGTTTGTCCACCTTGTTTCAGGAAATCAGAGCCAGAGGAGAGAAAAAGTGGATGAGGCAGGGCAGAGGAGCAGAGGTGCTTGACAAAACTGCTAACCAGAAACAACCTTCTGCAGGGACTGGGGAGGGAGGGGGGAGATTCTGTTTTCATGTTATAGTTGTTAATCTGAAATAAATGCCTCATAGGAAACATGCTCACTATGCTCCCCAGCTCAGACTTACAGTAAATACCACGGCAATTCCACATCTTCAATCTATGATCTGCACCCACCTCCGTTCCTGTTGTCAGAAAGCTCTCTGCAGATGACTGCACACACTGTGCTTCAGCCCCAGGCCTCTTGCCTCCTCACCGTACATATCACAGCTTTTAAGCCTCATTCTCCATCTCTCCTTCTCGGGGAAGCCTCTCCTGACCACCTTCCTCCACTCTTCTCTGCCCTCTTACTGAACTTGGAGACAAGTATAACAAGCAATGTTTTTCTGCTTCCCCATGAAGACTTTTCTTTTTCTCACTGAGCTGGGAGCTCTCAGGGGACCTGAGGTTTTGCTTTCTCCAATCTCCTTCCAGAGATGAGCTTGAACTGTGCCTGAACATTAACAACAGCAGCACTACCACTACCTCTGTGAATAAGCACTGTTGCTGTGCTGGGTGCTTAACCTAACGAAGAACTCTTAAAAGCCTTGTGAACCTAGTCCTATTATGATCTTATTCTAATAGGAGGCCCAGAGGGGTTGAGTAACTTGCCTAAAGCTATATAGCAGACCGATAGGTCAAGGGGAATTCTAACTGACTTCAGAGCTCATTCTTTTCCACCAGTAAATTTGATTCGCTGTAATGATCCCAAACTGAGATACACACACTGACACCAGCCCAGAACCCGCTGCTTCTGTTGACTTGTGGTAAAGCCACATCCTCAAAGACCTAGAAAAACCCAAAGATTTTCCACTTTCTATCTCTGACTGGGGCAGAGAATATTGCAATTTCCCCATCTCTAAGAAAAGCCTTTTCAGATATGAAATAGATATTACATTAATTTCTGCAAACTTTATTGAATAACCACTGAATGCAGGCCCTGTGGACTAAGATTACTGGATGAACCCCCAGACTCATTACCTTTGAGCTGATTTTGACTCATGTTGAATTTCCAAGCCTGTGAGTCTTTATGGGAAGAGAGTGCCTTGACTTTCTGCAGTAGAAGTATTGGTGGACTCAAATCTCTGACCTTTTGGTTAGGAGCCCAAGGAACGCTCTATGTCACCAGGCTGCCTTGATTATTAGATTCAACTCCTCATTGCCCATTGATGTCAAGTGGGAACCAACTCCTAGCTGGCCCTCTAGCAGACTTTTGGAGGATATGAATTACACAGGAGGAGATTGTCCATCTCATTTCTTCAGAGCAGCAGGTGGATTCAAACCACTCACCTTGGGTTGGCAGTACAACTCCTTACCCACTAGGCCACCAAAGCTGCCTGGTGACTACAGGTTGCATTTCTCTGATGAGCAGGAAAGTTCTGGGTGACAGAATGAACTACTCAAGACATTAGTTAGTCTAGAGGTAAGGGGAGAGGAATTCCAGGATTCAACCTCAATACTCACAGCTGATGCCCTCTCCCCTTATCTCCTGACGAACTGAAGTCTTGAGTAGTTCATTCCATCATCCAGAACTTTCCTGCTGGTCTGACAGTATAACATATGGTGACCCCGATGGAGGGGAAAAACAGTGATGAGAACCACACAAAACAAAAAGTAAAAATGTCTGGACTACTTTGTCTTGGTAAAAGGCAGTGCCAGCGAGCACCACTGCCCGTAGGTAATTATTCATAAGGGGATTTTTTTTAAGATGGGACAAGAGCTAACGAAAGACTAAAGAATATCTATTAAGACGCTTCAACAGCTCTTAAAATCCGCCTCTTGCACTGTAGAACCTAGAGCGCTTCAAAAGCTGCTGGTTTGCATTCAAGATCATTTTTCCTGGTTTGCAAATTCAAGGACTTTAGATGTTGAGCTGTGAGAATAAGCAAGTGGAAAGTCGAAGAAAAGACTTTGAAAGGAAAAGGAGTGCCCCTACTAATGTAATAACTACCAAAAGTCTAGCAAGAACCATCTTTTGCCCTTTCCATGTTGAAGAAATTAGCAAAGACACTTTTTCAAAACAACTTTCCCCCACCTTGTTGTGTACCATCAAGTTGGATGTGACTGGCACAGGAGGAGATTGCCCTTCCTTCTCCAGGGGAGCATCTGGTAGATTTGAACTGTGCACCTTCAGGATTGAAGCTTCTTGCCCCGAGGCCATCAGAGATACCTCAAAGACACCTTTTCAGACACATCTCTTAGTGCACACCTGATCGTACAGAAGAAGGCAGAGGACGATGTGCCACCACAGCCATCTCCCTTCTTCTAACACTATAACTTAGTGTAGTCTGGCAAGATCTAAAGTGTTAATAGACATTTCTCTTTTTTGAATTCTTTTCCCCCCTCTCTATTTATGAAATTCTAATATAAATTTACACAAATTCTTTCAATTTCCCTCACCCTTCTACCCATCAAATTGTATAACCCAATGATTAATCCCCTCTTCCCCCTGCACATCCATATCCCTCTGCTTCCAGCCTCTCCCACCCCTCCTGAATCCTTATACTCATTCTACAATAATGGTCTTATACAATATTTATCCTTGTGGGACTGAGTTAGTTCACTCAGCAAAATGCTCTCCAGTCCCT